GCTTAAAATGCAGTGAAATTGTTCCTTTTCTTGAGTCAGTGGTGAAACCCGTTTCCATTGCTATACACATTGCCGTTCTGGTAAATTTTCCCCGTTGGAGATCCGTTGGCCACTCCGTTTGTCGAAACTTTGTTCACCTTGCCACTTGTTTGCAGAACCGATTCTAGACACCCAGACGCTGCTGCGATAAGACCTGTTTGTATCAAAGTAATTCTCCATAAGCTAACAACACCATCAACAACATATTATTTCCATTATGATATATGACCAAGAAACTTACCTAGAAACAATGCAGAAGGTTTTCCAGGCCTGGACTTGAATTCAGGATGGAACTGAGCACCCACAAAGTATGGATGAGTTGGTAGTTCCACAATCTGCAAACCAAGCACGCAGAACAATGAAGCATAATCTAACCAAACATGCATATACTGATGCAACCTCACTGAGGTCACACATTAAACAGGTTTTCCACAAGCATATTACCTCCATACGACGCCCGGTCTCATCCTTCCCAACAAATGAGAGCCCAGCGCTCTCAATTTCTGCTATCATATCTGGATTTACCTGCCAAAAAACATATATATATTTGACTTTCAACAACTTGGGAGAAAACTCGAGGAATAGATTGTCAAGCATTTGCAGTATAATATATTACCTCATATCTGTGCCGGTGTCGCTCATCAACAAACTTTGCATTACCGTACCTAAAAATAGCGATAAGAACTTATATAGGCTTTGGAAATGAGACCTACGAGTTATCATGAGCTACTGAGCTTAAATGAGTTTGATGCTTACAACTTAGCAGACTTGCAATCAGGAACCTGAAAGTAAGTCCTCCTTGACCCTAAGCGCATTGTTCCACCCATATGAGTTGTGGATCCCTTGAAAAGAGATTGAACAATTTTAAGAAGACACTCAAGAAACTGAAAGCATGTAATCGGTCAAATGAGAGGACTATGCGGTGTATTACTTCTGGCATAAATATGACGCAAGGGCTTGAAGTTTCTGGTTCAAACTCTGTGCTGTTTGCATCGTCAAAACCAAGAATGGATCGGGCAAATTCAACAACAGCCAGCTGCATTCCCAGGCATATACCAAGGAAAGGGACTTGATTCTCACGGGCATACTTTGTAGCAAGTATCTTTCCTTGCACCCCTCTATCACCAAACCCTCCTGGTACTAGAATTCCATCAGCACCCTGCAACAAGCGAAATGCTGAGACAAACATATTTACCGAATCGGTGTGCTAGGCTCCATTAAAATTGACCTACCTTCAAAAGATCCCAAGCATCTTTGTGGACATCTGGCGACTGCAATGTAAGCCACACAAAGGCTAATGAGACTAAATACAATAGTAGTACACAGAGAAACGAAAACAAAGTATGACTTACCTCCTGTGCAGTGATCTCTTCAAGGTCACTGGCTGCAACCCACTCTATAACAAGCTTCTTGTGACATGCAACAGAAGCATGCAAAAGGGCCTGCAGTGGAATAAGCACCAAAGAAATCCCAGTTTTTAGAATCCTCGATAGTAGACCCATTTGTTAAAGAAATGAGGCATAAACTAAAAGTTTGGGCTTAAAAATTGATAACTATATGTGGTTTCTTCAAGAACACAGATCTATTTACCTTCAACACCGAAAGGTACGAATCAGTAAGGCCAGTGTACTTTCCAACCATAGCTATTTTAACCTGAAAGAGAAGACCATCGAGTATGAACAATGGTTTCCATTATGTAGACTCGCTGACATAAGAAGTTATCTATAAAAGGTTGACTAACAGGATCTAGCAGTGTATCATAAATTCTAGTTCTTGCAGTCCATTCTGTCAAGTCAGCCTCTCCAGCTTTGCTGCAGAAGAAGCAAATGAAAACTTAGTAGAGAAAAGTCATCGCAGAGAAGCTAAAGTACGGAACCTAGAGTAAATATAAATTTACACTTAGAAAACATGTAAAAACGAAAAGATGGTCCAGAGACAAACCTAAGGAGGTTCAACTCTTTTAAGATTGCTTCATGAACCTTTTGATCCTATTGAAGAGAACACCAAAATAATTAGAACAAAAAATCAGTATAGCAACAAGCTCCTTTGATTTCGTAAGTAGAGTTAGAAACTAGTTAAGCAAAATTTACTTACCCTTAAAAGCAGCGGAACGTGCCATATATTTGGAACATCATAGAGCGTTACTATATTCTCTTCCTAGGAAAGCATAGAAAAGCAGATAGAATGTTACTCAGACACAGGTCTTTTAATGAGAGACCTAACCTCTCTTCTCCAAGAATTTAAGATAACGATTAAAAAAATCAACAACAAATACCGGCACATGGCAAAATTGAGATAGTTTTGTCTTGACATTCTCTTCAAGTGCCTGTTACAGAACAAGGACTGATTAGATGAAAAAACCAAAATCCATGCCTAACATTAACACTAAAGCACATGAAAATATTGGAGTGCCAATTACCTTCGTGCTACGACATGCTAGGATATTTGGTATCAAACCAAGGCTCCTGAGTCCCCGCACACTATGTTGGGTAGGCTTTGTCTTCTGCAAAACAGATGTTCAATTCTCCACTGTTACAAATCAATAAAATAGAACCTTAGTGGGAAATATCAATTCTATAGAAAATTACCTGTTCACCAACAACACTGAGAACAGGCACAAGGCTGACATGAACCAAGCAGAAATTCCCAGGTCCTAATAACGAAAGACAGATGCGGTGATGGAGCCGATAAGCAATAACATAAGAAAATTACTGGAACTTTAATAGTTTATACAAATTTAGAGAATGGCTCACCAACTTTATATGAGAATTGACCAAGAGCCTCAATGAAGGGCATAGATTCAATATCACCTGCACAGAACATAATTCATAGATAAATAAAAGCCACTCTTTTGAGAAATTGTGAGGAAAAGTAATACCAGCTAACAAAAAAAAACAGTACCTATAGTCCCGCCTAATTCGATGACACAGACATCAGGAGGACCATCCTTTCCATCCACGGGAACATTAGCTATACGTTCAATCCACTCTTGGATTGCATCAGTAATATGTGGAACCACCTTTGAAAAAAAGTTAAAAGCTTTGTTCAAACACTCAAATCAAATCAGAATCAGAGTA